ATGGCATCACTCCAAATGCCCCCTGCCCTCCCCTTCCTTCTTCCCCAAATGTATATACTGAGCATGACTTGATACGGAATATCCCTTTGGTCAGTTTGGGGCAGCTGTCCCGGCTGTGTCCTCTCCCAACTTCTTGTACCCTCCCAGCCTGCTCACTGCTGGTGTGGTACAAGAAGTAGAAAAGGCCTTGAGGATTTAGCAACAACTGAAAACACCAGTGTGCTATCAAAAGGCAGCCTAGCACATGTCGATGAAGACCTCTCCAAAGGGCTGTGTCCATGGAGAGGATGTTCTTGGGGTCCTTGATGCCTTCATCCAAGACATCTGGTCATACTGTTCCAGCGGCTGTGCCTGACACCCAGGTTCCTGGCTGGACCCTCCTTCCCTCCTGTCCACAGCTAAAAAACCAGCAGAGATGAATGTCTCCCATGAGGCTTAAAGCAGGTGAGCTCAAGTCACTCTGTGGAGCAGAGGACACCCAGCAAATGTACTGATAGCCCTAGGTCTGCCCAAACCTGACCTGGCGCCAGCCCTGTCCCTGGCCACACTGGTCACCACAGCATCCCTTGCACACCTCTCAGGGATGGGGAGCCGAGCAGACGGATGCAGCTGCAGCCCCTCAGGAAAAGTCTTCTCCAAAGCTGCGCCCGCTTGGAGCATTCCCACCCTGGCCATTGTTTTGGGAATGGCTGGAAAATGTCAGCAGGGCACTGGGTGCGGGTGGGGGGTCAGGAAAAAGGAAAAACAGATGATTAGATTTTTTTTTTTAAATCAGCCAATAAATTATATTAACTTTTCCATTGACCTTTTGTCGGGTGACATTATCAGACTGGTGAATATGGTTCATGAAGATAGTATTATGCTCAGATTTCAAACTGTGCAGAAAGTGCATCCCAAGCAATATGCCAAAATGGAAACATTGGCTCTGCTGGAGGGGTGTGCTGCTCATTGCCCTCCCAAGGAAGGCCAGACCCAGCACCTACAAATATTGTATATATTAGTAAAAAGGTCTGGTTCCCAGGGAGGCTGGGGATTTCATAAGGTCCGGTTTTGTCAGTGGTGCCATTTACTGCTTTCTTCTTGAGACTGTGGTGGTACTGGAGCTGGCTGCAGAGGGACCAGCTTGCAGCAGGCAGCCAAGATTGCCTTCCTGCCCGCGCTTGGCCAGCAGCCATGGTGCAGACATCTGGAACGGGCAGCTTTCCTTGGCCAGGTCACGAACACTGGCCTGGCATCATGGTGCTGCTTTAGGATGGGATAACATTCAAAGCACGGGAAGGAGGAGGGTGTGAGGATGCAGCTATGTGCATTGGGCGCCTGCACAGGTAAGGGGGGGCACTGATGAACCTGGCTGCCCCAGCCTCAAGCAGGGTTTACCTGGTGCTGGCAGGACTGCAGCATCATGCTGCATCGTATTGGCTCCTTATCACAAAGCCAGCGGCCACAGCTCCGTCTGCGGCCATGGCACCTTCCAGGGGCACCAGCAGGGAGCACGCCAGCCTGCGTGACCCAGCTGCGCCTGGGGCTGTCCTGGTCCTCAGGGCTCAGAGAGCCACTCTGCCCCTTGGACCACAGCCCTGGCACAGACAGAGGCGTCCTCTCACCCTCTGCCAGCCCAGCAAGGCCAAAATTAGCCTCCCCTGCGTGTGTGCCGGGTAGAAGAGCCACAATTGTATCTCAGGAAAGCATTATTGTACTCCACGAGCCCTATCTTATCAGGGAAAGGAAAATGGGACTTTGACTAATTGCCTCTGTCGCAGCCGGGGTAAGCACATGATTTTCGGTAATGGCCCCCCCGGCCGCAGCAAAGCCACGGCCACTATTGTTCCCAGCCCCGGCGCTGCACCGTGCGGGGTCCGGGCAGCCACGACCCTCCCGAAGGCGAAAGAGCACGTGGGGCCCCGGCCACCCTGGCTTTGGCTGCACCCTGTACATTGTGTTTGCAGCCCTGCTGGGGATGCAGTCAGAGTTAGATTGATCCCTTTATCAGGAACCTTCAAGCGCTGATAAAGTGACATCACCCTCTGGGGAGCAGGGACCTGAACTCTTTTGCAAAGGGAGATGGCTATCAGTGGGCTCTGGCAGGGCTGTGCTCGCTCTCCAGCCCCGCAGCTGGAAGCACAGCCACCCCCCGAGCTGCTGACACCATAGGAAGGGTTTGTTTTGCTTTGCACAATGGCTGCTCAGATCCTGTCCAAGAGCAGTGTAGAGCCCCACAAAGGCACTCAGCTTCGTGTTTCCACGGCACGGGGGACCCAGCGTGGCCAGCGGGCATCCTGCCCACATGGTGCTCAGCCTGACCCCGGGGACAGCTCGGTCCCTGAAACACCCCTTGCAACAGGAGGCATGTTGTTCCCAGTCCCAGGGCAAAGAGGATCATCACCTGAAGAGCTTATTTCATCTCACTGGGAAGTCCAAGAGCACCTGTCCCTGCCTGCAGAGCATCCCTGCAGGGAGGAGAGCAGGTCAGTCCTGCCATCTCTTCACTCCTTGCTGTTGTGAGGCCACCTGAGGACCTGCCCCGGCAGGGGTGAGAGCACCAAAAGAGCCTCTTGAGCAAATCCAGATGCCCCATGAACCACGTCCCCTGGCTGAGCAGGGAGCAGCCTGTGCTCGGTTTACCTCTGCTGCAAGCCACAGGGCAGGAGAAGACCCAAAAGGCAGGTGTGATGGCCATCAGGACAGACAGAACAAATGTTCAATGAAGTCCCACAGGGGACACCTGCCTGGCCCGCTTGGTTCACCTGCCCGGGAGGGGTAACAGCCCAGGGACCGTGCTGGGTGCATGCAGCCACCACCATCGTGCAACTGCCTGTGCAACACGTGGCTGCAGCAGGACTAGGAATGCTGCAGTGCCCTGGGAACAGCTCTTCATCCCCCCAAGCACGACTGTGCCTGCTTGTGGGGTGACCTCCGTTGGTGGTGCTGGCACCAGTGGGAGCTCCCCAAATACCCCAGCAGAAGCAGCTGCTGAGGGCTACAGGGAGCAGGCAGAGAGGTTGTAGCAAACCACACTGCACAAGTGTGCAGTCCTGCCCGGTGTGACAGTGCTCCTTGCCCTTTGGTGCTCTCCTGCAGGGTCCTGCTTCCCAAGGAAGTGACAGCCAGGCACTGCAAGAATCACAACCAGCCCACCAAAGCTGCTGCTGTCCTGATTCCTGCTCATCTCCCTGTGCCTACAGCTTTCCAGAACTGGGCTGTCATCATAAAACCAAAGAACAAAAAACCCCAGTGGACTGAATACAAGAAAGGGCCGAGACCACTGATTTCCCATCACCACACCCCAGGGCAGAGAGTGAGCAGAGCTGCAAACCACAGTAACGTGTGATGTCCCCGAGCCCCACCACCCGCCCATGCAGCTCCTCCTTTTGCCTGGGTCCCTGCAGCCTGTGACATCCCTTCCCACAGCCTGAGCAAACACCATCCTGCCCCTTCACAGCTCCCATCCCAGGACACCCCAGGAGCAGGGAGCAGGCACTGCCCCGCTGGGCAAAGTACCCATCCCGCTGCTGTCTGAAGTCCAGCTGTTAGTGACGGGGCACCAAAGCAGCCCTTGGGGCAGGGCAGAGGCTCACCTCTGGAGCCAGAGTGGAGCAGGGCAGCGCAGGGTGACCTCCTGCAGCCCGTCCTGCCGCTCCCAGCGGCCACAGCCCGGGGGCTTCCTGAGCCAGAGGGGCAGCCCTGGTCTGCCTCTCTGAACTCATCATTCATCCCCGACTCACTGCCCAAAATAGCCCACAATGATTTCCGCAGTTAATTTGGGCCCGCTCTGAGCCTGCAGGCTGTAATCTGAACTTGTCTCTGGCCAGTTTCATCTCAGACCTCCCTGTTCCCGTGCTCCGAGACTCAGCAGAGGCACTTGTCCTTTGCTGCCCTGATGGTACCCACTCCATCACATCTCCTCTTTAGGACAGGACACCTCATCAGAGACTCACCTCCATCCTTACTCAGATGCCACCCTCACTCCTCTTCTCATACCCTACACTTCTCCTGGCACTGTGAGGGATGCTCAGCCTGGCACACACACTGGCACAGCACATACCCACCTGCAGCCCTTGCCCCAGCAGCTCCCACACAGCACTGGGCTCCCATCACCAGCCTCCCCTGTGGCAGCAGCTAATCCTGCTCCCAGCCCTGCTGTGTGGACACGCTCTCTGTCCCTGTCCCCACCGCTCTGACATGTAGTCTAGCCTGTCACTCTGTCCCCCCGACACTCAGCAGTGCTAGACCCTTTTCAATACATTCTACCACCAGCTTTGGGATGCTCATACTCCAAATAATGATGTGTCGCTAGCAAATGTTGTGGCTCACTTTTCTCAGCTCTGCCAGAGGATTTGAAGAAAGATTTCTCTTGCCAGTGCCTAAATGAAGGACAGGGGTGGTCCCATGGGATGGAGCAGGAGCGGGCCAGGTTACCCGCTGCTCCAAGACTCATTGCAAAGCACCACAAACAGGGCTGCCCGTGAGACACCCCCCACGCTGCCTGCCCCCCACCAGCGTGGGGGATCCCGGCTCACACAGCCATCCTCCTGCGCTTCAGAAAGCAGCCGAGGTGCCCACCCCACCGTCTGCAGCGGAGACTTTTGTTTCACTTTGGGTTATCTTATCGCCATAGGAAAGGCAATACAGCAGAAGAATTTCCTTTCCTTTATGTTTCCAGCCTTTCTATTGTCTGGCGTCTGGATTTCTGAGCCTCACCACTCAGCAATTCGCTCGGGCCTTTGGAAACGTGAATGCAGGCACTTCTTATCAGCAGGAGCTCCACACAGGCTCCTTTTGCTGCTGCAGGCACACCAGGCAGGGTCTGCACATCCCGGGCCCCCATCCTCACCCAGCCGTGCTTCATCCTGTGCCTTTTCCACTGCCCGAGGCAGGCGCCAGCTCAGCTGTTCACCTGGAGGGATGGCAGTGCCAGACAGCATGGCTTGATGAGATTTGACCATGGCAATGAAACACCACAGTCTCACATTTCTTTTTTCCTTCCAGTTTATTTAGCCAGAGCAGAACCCAGAGCAGGATGCATGCCACTGGGAAGGAGGAACAGCTACAAGCCACCAGCACCTCAGAAAAGACCACGGAAGACGCCATCAGCCTAGGGTTATAGCAAAGGCTCTTTCCCTGATTTGCTCCTTGTAGGAGCCACCACCACCCACCCTGGGGCAAAAAGCTGACCTCCAGCTGCAGGGAGCGAACTGGCCCCAGTTGTGCTCTCCACTGCTCTCCAGTGTGGGAAAGCTCTTTTCCCCTGTGCTCCGTAACACAGAGGAGCAGGAGAGCAGCCAGGCAGGTCCCCAGGTCCCCATTGTGGATGATCTTGCTCCAGCTTCACATGCAACAAATGCAGTGTGGGCTGTGGGGTCCTGGGGATCCCCATACTGCACTGCAGCCTCACCCCTGCACACGTGGACCAAGGCACTTGAAGGCACCCAGCGCTGTGGATGCAAACTGGCTGCTCCCTCCTGGCCTTTGCACGGGCTCCTATGTTTCTGCAGCTTCCACCAGTCTGCACCACACACATTTTTGAGGCACAAAAATGATCCCAGGGCAAGAAACTCACCTCCCCATTGCAGGAATTGGCACCCGCCAGGGAGCCCACAAGTGATGGGTCAGTCCCCCACATACGGCACTGAAGACACATATAATCTTCCAGGTGGGTTTCTTCCTTGCTGGTCCATGGCTCGCAGTGCTAATGTTCAGCAGTCAGAGATGACCGGGGAACGTGGCAGCCACCACCAGGAAGCCACAGTGGGGACTGTCCCTATCTCCTGCCCTGCTGGGCAGATCAGCAGGCTTCAACACCAGAGTCTGCAGAGCATGTTTGGGCAGGGCTTGTAACCCCTGTGCTGGGGGAAACACCAGCCCAATCAAGAGAAGACACTAATAGGTTTAAACCCAGCCGTGAGGCTGCACCGCTCCCACAGCCCCAATTCCAGGGAGGGCAGCCAATGGTGGTGGGGAAGGGGGACCCCACACCCCTCTGCAGCAGAAGGATGAAAAGAGATGCTGGAAGCTGCCACCAATCCACCCAGGCAGTGCAGCCTGTGATGGTACCCCAGGGCTTATCACCTGTCCCAGGGGAGCCCCAAGGAGGCACCCTCTGCTGGTTACTGCTTGCTGGGCTGGGGGGACGGGTGCTTGAGGTGTCTCGGAGGGGCTGCAGGTTGTCTGAAGGTGCCTGGACACACCACGGAGCAAGGCTGAGCAGCAGGGCTGGGGCGGCTCCACTGCACCGTCAAGTCTTCAAAGTCCCACTGTGAAAAGAAAGGAGCAGGAGGTGCCACAGCTGGATGTAAGGGAGCCCTGGGCAGCAGTGGGGATGCACTGCCTCCTCCTAAAAGGGGAATTGGCTACGCTTGAAAATAGAAAGTATTTGGTTCTCCCTTTCCCCACAACAATGCAAGCAAAGCTCAAAGCAGAAGAACGCTGGTTTCCCTTTTTCTCATGTGCTTCCCTCCCTGCCCAGGACACGTGAGGAGACAGCTCAGGCGCGCACAGAGGGGTGGCTGAGTGGAGTGTGTCAAGAGAGGGAGAACCCCTTTTCCCTGGGAACCCCACAGCAGCAGTTCCTGAGCGTTCCCCTGTCGTGAGTGGGAGCCACCACCAGGGACAGCTCTTGCTAAAAACCCTGTGAAGCCCCAGATGAAGCCTGGACCAGCCAACACAAAGGGGCTCCACAGAGGCTCTCAGCTTCCCTTTGCTCTGTGCAGGCAGCAAAACCTGACTGCACTGCAGGAACTTCCCGTCAGGCACATGATGACATTTCTATTTCTTTGCTTCAACTGCTATGCCTCCCAAGTGACAAGAGGCTGGGAGTCAGAGTGGGACATTTCCAGGAGGGCAAACCCAAGTCTGCTTCACCCAGCAAGCGCAGCCCTCCGTCCCCGACACCACCCAGAAGGGACAGACCCTTTTCCCACAGCCACATCAAGAAAAAAAACTCAGGGGCAGAGTTCCTCTGAGTCAGGAGCCCTTTCTTTTCCTCTTGTCCTCACCATGACCTCTACTTTGGGCACCTCAGGTATTTAGCCCTGAGAAATTATTCTCTGAGGTGGCCTGGGGAGCCGTTCCCTGCACCTCTCACAATATTTTTGCTGCAAAAGGAAAAGAAAATTAAAAAACCACAAAAAAACCCAACTTGGGAAAAAAGCTGGACTAGAGCCACCACGCAGCAGGGGTGACAGAGCACAGCGCTGCTCCTCACAGACATGACAGGTAGAGGATTGTGCTGGTGCCAGGCAATGACATAAAGCTCAGAGGAACAGGGAAGGAGCTGTGAGCAGGCGAGAAAAAAAAAATAAAGAAAAAAAAATTGTCTGCTTTTTACTTTAAAGCAACTGTGTTTCAGGACAACCAGGAAAGAGCTGCTTAACTTCAGTAGAAACAGCCTGAGAGGTCCTGGACCCAGCTCCTCACTTGCCAGGGTAAAATCCACTTTTCCCAGCATGGTCCTCTTGACCACCTTACTGCTGTGCTGGGAACGCCCGCCTGTGGGGCCGGGGCTGCTCTCCCTCTGCCTTGGAAAGGCCGGCCCCTAACGGCAGGAGAGAAGGATTTCAGCCTACTCCAGAGACCTATCGAAGCAGTTTTGGACCAGAGGGTGACTGCGGAAAGCTGGTGAGATGCTCACACGGCAGCCCCTCACTGCAGGACTCCCCAGTGCTAAAGTCGTCATCCCACCCATCCTTGGGCTGAGACAGCAGGAAAAGATCAAAGACACCCACCATGCTCACTCATGATGCTTCCGTTTTCGGGGACAAAGTAAAAGATACCACTCTCTCCACAAAAAAGACTCTGCAGAGTGTGTTTTCTAGTAGATGGATGGCCTAAGCAGCAGTTCTGACATGCAATGGCAATCCTATGTATGAAGGACAGCCCCAGCCTTCTGGACCTCCAGGGCAGAACTGGGGCCAGTGTTGCACCAGGGTGACCTGCACTGAAACCCTCTTGCAGCCTAGAGCAGCCACCTGAGTGGAAAAGGCCCTTAGGAGAAGCTAAACAAGACTACCAGGTAAGCTTTCAGAAGCTACAAGTCTTGCCCCTCTCCTGATAATAAAACTCCACTAAGTAATAAGCAGACAAGAAGAGAAGGGCCAGTAATACCACCAAGAGGAGCCCTGTGAAATCCCATCATTTCACAGCAGCTTCTCTGCAGGACCATGTTAGCTACAGCTCAGAGCATAAAGACCTTTGAGCGAGGCTGGGAAAGCCTGGAAATCTGGCTCCAGCCTTTTCAGGAATGGACATAGATGGGGACTCCACAGGTGGGCAGGTGAGACTGCGAGTGGGGCTGCACCCTTGTGTGAGGGGGTGCAGAGATGCTGTGGTGGTTCACCCACACCTTGACAGAACAAGTCATTCTCCAAGTTCCTCTTCTGAGCTCTGCTCTGCAGAGCAGCCTGTGCACCTTGGCATCATCCTGGGCATGGCTCTAGGACAGACCTGTCCTAATAGGGCTCTAGACCCATCTCTGGCACCAGGGCTGTGACCATATAGGGTGGATGCCTTAATGAACACGCTGCAGCAGGGCAGAGCCCCAAGGGAGAAGAAACAGCACCTAAAGAGCCGGGAGAAGGCACTGACCTCGAGCTCCGAGTTGATGGAGGCGGCATCAGAGGAGCCCGATGGGGAGAGCCCAGGGTGCAGGGTTAGGAGCGGGGGGCAGACAGGCGGCTGGGGTGGCACGGAGCCTGCTGCACCCATCTGTGCATCCCTGGGCAGCCTCGCCACGCCATGACCAGTCTGAGAGGGCACAGGAAACAAGAGGAGGACAAAGGGAGACATCACTGGGGAGAGCACCAAAACCCAGCAGCCCTGCACAGCACCTTGGGGCTCACACTGCAACACCATCTGCAAGCTGCTGGCCCCTCCGTGCTGTGCAGGACAGCAGAGCAGATGCATCCCCTCCTCTCACCACAAATCCGGGAACACACCCCACAGCCATCTGCAGAGACCCCATTCCCTGCCAGAGGGACGAGAGCACCCCAAATTCCCCCAGACCCTGCCCCAGCCACCTCTCACCTGCTGCACCAGCCTGATCATCAGGTCTAAGGAGTGGCTGGTGGCCACCGTCCTGGGCCCAGACCTGGGTTTTGGAACCATGTTAAGTGGGACCCATTTGGCAGCCTGCAAAGGAGAGCAAGCCATGTTGGCTACAACCAGGAGAGCTGTGCCCACACCGCAGCCCATGCCAAGGGCACAGCACCCATCCCCATCCAACAGCAGCGTCACTCCAGCCACACCACGAAGTGGGGACCTGGGTGGGTGCAGGAATATGCTGAGCTGGCACATCCAGACCCTGCAGCCAGGCCCTCCCCACCTCCCAGGGGAACAGGGGGACAAAGGACCCCCACCAGCCTCCCCCCTTACACTGGGGCTGGGGGAGCATCCAGGAGCTGCACACCAAGCTGCTCCCAGGCCAGCATAGTAGGAAAATGTACGTGGTCCTGTGGTGAGGGTGATGCTCCCAGCACCAGCCATGCCCCGCAGTGTGCTGACCCTCCATACCCCTCCTCCATGGGCCCCCGGCCCCCAACATCCCCCCACCCTCCCTGGGGAGGCAGAGCAGTAGTGCTACCGAGAAGGGCAGCTCTCCTTCCTGCCCTTCAAGCAGAGAGGGAGGAAAAACAACCTCTTCTTCCTCTGTTCCTCCATCATCTTCCTCTCCAGTCAGGGGAGCCCAGGCATCAGGGACCTCGGGCCACTGGCTCCTCTGGTTCTTGGTTGTGCAGGCAATGAACAGGAGCTGAGCCCCCATTAAGGGTATTTCTGTGGTAACAGTGGAGCCCCCTCCCCACGCCAATCCCACAGCCCCAGCACTGGGACCAGGAGAGGAGCCATGTCCCGGTCAAGAGCCCTGGGAAAGGATACGGCCATGTCCAGCACAGCTGAGCCCAGGGCGATGAGGAGCCAGGGCAGGGCCCTTAGGAGGTGCACAGGCTGCTGGTCGTGGGTGACGATCGCTGCTGCGTAGAGGACCCCAGCTGTGGCCGAGCAGAAGGTGGCCCACAGCCGCCTCCGTGGGCATGGCTTCCCCCTGCACTGAGCCACCCATAGCCTGCTTTGGAGCTGCAAATCCTGTCCCCAGCTGGGGACATCACCGCAGCTGGCATGGGGATCCTTACACCCTGCTGTAAAGGGAGCTGCAGTGCCAAACCCTGCAGCTGCCCTAAGGATGGAACAGCGGGGAAGGGCACCCCGCAGCTCCCCCGGGGCTTTTGCAATGGGATGCAGGAGTCACGGCCATGGCTGGGGGGCATGAGGGCAGCCATGCCAGGCAGACACTTACTGCTCTAGAGAGTGCGGGGATCCTGGCTGTGAGGGCAACAAGGGCAGAGAGCAGCCCCAGGACAAAGCCCAGCGTTCCCCTGTTGTCCTGAGGGAGGGAGAAGAAACAGGGGAGGCAGGGGAACACCTCCATCACAACCTGCCCAGAGAAGGGGTCTGGAGAGAGCCCAGCACACACCTCCCAGCAGGACCCCTGTCCCCACTGCTCCCACCAGCTGCTCCAGGTCCTCTGATGATCCCAGGGACTTCAGCCTGCCCAGAAGTGCCACCGTGTGCAGGGGTTGCCTCTACTGACCCCAACCACTGAGGGACCAAAGAGCACCCCAGGGACACAAACCAAGATGCCAGCTTGGGTGATGCCAGGAGTGGTAAAATGCATCAGAACAGAACCCCCTGGTGCTCAGAGCCCAGCAGTGCCTGTGCTTGCCCAGGCTCTGCCCACCTGCCCCTGGGGGGATGAGCAGGGGGCATCTCACCTCCAACACTGCCCCAAGCAGCCTCCGCCGGGCTCCCTCCAGCCGCTCCAGGGAGAGCCGGGGGCTGGTGGTCAGCAGAGATCTGCCAGCACCCATGGACAGGGGCAGGGCAAGGGCCAGCAGACCATCCTGCAGCCACCGCCTCCTCCTTCTCCCCTTCTGCCGTGGTGGACCTGCATGGGACATGGGCTCACTTTCAGGCACAGCTTTTGCCCCATACCACCCTTGTGGCCTGTACCAAGTCCCCCATTCCTCACCCATCCTGGGGGCCACCCAGCCATCCCCTGCTCGCCCAGGGTGCCACACTGCTACCCCAGGTGCTGCTGTCCCCAAGGTGCCCACCACAGGCTGCCCAGCCAGAGCTATGCGGTGCTCCCTGAAGCCCTCAGCTCAGACCAGGCTGCTGCCAACCTGCGCCGATGGCAAGGAGGGGTCTCCCTGCACAAACGTGCTTTTTTCTGGGCCTCAGGTGGGCACGAGGGAAAGATGGTGAGCAGGAAGCGGATGATGTCAGCCATGGCCATGTAGGCACCCGTGAGGATCTGGGGAAAGATGCGTCTGAACCTCCCTGAAATGCAAAACCTCGGGCAGCAGCTCCCAGGCCCCCAGGTGAGGGGCTGCATTTGCCATGCTGTCATCAGCTAGGCTGCCAAAATCCTCCTCCAGGCCCAGCACCTCAGGGCAGCAGAGCAATGCCTCTGGTCCCCCAACAACCCCACCGGGAGCCTTGCCCACCGGGATGCTGACCTGGTCCCCCACCACCACCATCCCCACCCGGAGCCTTGCCCACCTGGATGCCGAGCTGGCTGGCTAGCAGCGCTCCAACTGTGCTGCAGACATGGCCCAGGAAGGTGTACAGGAGGAAGAGGAGGAATGCCTGCCGCCGGCCCTGCCCCGGGCATCCGCAGGACAGCCTAGGGCAGAGGGACAAGCTGCTCCAGCCATGTTGGGCACTGCAGGATGTGGGAGCAGAGCAGCCCCACAGCCCAGCCCGGGGAGTTACAGGGAGCGGGCGGCGATCCAGCACAGCGCAGCCAGCATCCAGAGCCCCCAGGACACACAGCCCGGCTCCCCAGCCAGGCAACCTGCTGGCCAGGCAGCAGAGTCACTGTGCCCCATGGCCAGTGCCCCCAGCATGGCTGGCTCTGAGCGTCCCTGGGCAGGGAGTGCCACCACACACCCTGCAGGTGTGGCGCCCAGAGCCACCTCCACCCATGGTACAGCAACTCCCCGGGGGTAGAAGCCACCACGCTTCTACCCGGAGAGCAGACTTCGGGCTGGAGTAGGGCTCCCTAAACTAGGCAGAAGAGTCCTGGCAGCTCCAGCTCCTGCCCTGCAGGGAGGAGAATTGTAGCTCGTGATGCAAGTACACGATATGGTAAAAGCAAAGTTCACCTTCAAACCATATTCCCAAATCGGCTCTGCATTTCTGCCGCAGGAGTCAGTGCAGCAGGTAACAACATCAGCCAGGAAAATGAACTGCTTGCACAATAAACCAAAGCCCCCTAAGACCTAAGGACTTAGGGAGCTTTGATTTATAAAGCAAAGACCCCTAAGCAGACCTCTGGGGTGCTGAAAGCGCTGTGGATTCCAAGGAACAGACTGGAGCTGGCTGCAGCCCACCCGCTCCCTCCACACGCACAAGGCGCTTTAAGAGAACAGCTCTTGGGAATGGAAAGTTGTTTTCTGTGGAAAAACGGCCGGAGCAGCCAGAGGCTCGCTCAGCAGGTGGCTGGGGCAGAGCACAAGGTCTCCTTTGTGCCAGCTCCTGCCAGCAGTGTGATCCCCAGGCTGTCCCACGCCTGCCAGCTGCTCCTGTGTGCGGCACGGAGCTGTCACAGCCCGGCCAGCACTCCCCAGCTGGGGCAGGGCAGGGTAGATGTGGTTCAACAGACCAAACCACCACAGGAAAGCATTAATTTAACCATGGTCCCCCCCTATTACCCAGTTTGTTCACTGCTCAGTAGCAGCATAAAATATTAACAAGCCTTTGGTTCCACAGCTCTCATTTATGGTCCTCCTTCTATCGAGGCAAGACTCCTTTAGCACAGCAAGGAGCAGTTTGCATTTAACAAACTTGAGCAAACATTATTTGCTCCTACATATTTACATTATCCTCCATTCGTTCACACAAACACTGCAAGTGGTTTGGCAGGTCCTGTGGCCAAAGGTTCCTGCAAACAACAAGCAGAGTTGTCCCAACCCTCGGGCCCTGGGGATACTGTCATTCACCAGGTTGGGAAGGGTCTACACCAGGACGCAGCCTGTCCAGCAAGGAGGCTCCTGGAGACCCAGCTGGCAGGAAAGGGCTGAGAATGCAAAAAAAACCTCAGGTACGTGCAATGAGAACTAAGAAGTCAAAATGCTTTGAAAAGAGAGAAATAGAATAGAAAAAAATACTTTAAAACTTCAATAAAGCATACCCTCAACTTCAATTTGGCAGGTGATTTGAGAGATAATAGCTTCACACAAGACAGGACAAAAAGAAATGGGTATTTCTGAGCAACCAGGTCCCCGAAGTATTATAAGGGACAAAAGCAGGAACTACCTCTCCAAAGAGGGTGCAAAAATCTGATCAGAGACAGATCTGGCTAGGGCACAGCCTCTTCAGGAAATAAAGGCAAAAATCATCTTCTCCAAGAGAACCAGATTAAATAGTATCTCCTGAGAATCTACTTTGCACTATGGTACACTGCCTTAAAATACCATTGGTCATATTCATTCAGTGCTATTATGCTTCAGTTTTACAAATGGCAGGGAAATTATACCACTGGAGGGGAGGTATCAAGAACCTGAGAGCAGGGACTCCAAGGGAAGCAGGAGCTGAGAGCTCTGCTGTCAGGGGACCCTCTGCACACACAGTGTAAATTGGCTGTACAGGACAAGCATAGGGTCACAAAGGCAGAACCAGCTTGGTTGCCTGCCCCACATCTGCTGAGGCTTTGCTCAGCAGTTCTTTCATCTCTCCATGCACACTCAAGGCCTGGAAAGTACAAAATTATAAGACGCCAATCCCTTTTTTAGATTCAGAGACCAGCGTCCTCTGCTACTCTGCTTCACCACCTAAAAAACAAAGCACATTTTGTCTTTGCAAGCCTTCCCAGTCCTATCATTACTCCCTGTGCTACATAGGAATGAAGAGCACTGACCAAGTGCACATTTTCTCAGCAGGGCAACCAAGGAATAAATCTCACTTAAGTCTGACCCCAAGTAAGTGCAGTCTTTTTACCATTAAATATTAATGTACACATTAAAATCAGCTATTACGACACTTCTGCGGCTAGGTCAATGGCTGACAGGGTCAGTGAGACAGAACACAACACCATGTAGGAAGTAAAATCTCAAGTATATTTAAGGACAAATTAGCACCAGATTTTTGGTCAGTCACATGGAGCTAATGTTTTAGAATACCAATGGGAGGTCACGCAGTAAAACAACTGATACCAGCTCAGTGTGAAGGACATAAAAGCAGCTTTCTCCTTGCACGGTGTGGCTTTCCTTCCTTTGCTCTGGCTTAAGCTGGGAAGATGAGTGGTTTCAGTACTGATTCTACAGATAGGGCTGATACAGTAGAGAAGGAAGAGGGCAATAAAGATCTTTTCACCTCATTTTTCAACACACTGAATTGTTCTGTCAAATCAATAAACAAGCCTTTTTTTTTTTTAAAAAAAAGGAGATGAGCAATAGTGTCTCAAAATCTAACAAACATCACTCATTGAGATTCAACTGTTTAAAGATTTTAGTCAGTTTTACAGGGCTGCTTTGATCTCAACAGCTATAAAAATACATCCTTTATGGAAGGAAAAAACATTCCCGCATGGCTCCATCTGCTCCCATTGAAAGGACATTTCAGCAGCAGTCAAACGTCTGGGCTGGCTTCCAGATAACAGGAACGGCCAGGTCCCTTTTGTTCTCAGAAGGGATGAGCTCCAACTATTGGATGCCAATCTTAGCCCCTCCACAGGGCAATCCACAGCATGGAGCTCCCAGGTGAGCGAGTGACGCCCACTTATCTTTGTTACGCCCCCAGTTCAGGCCTGCAGGACAATGCAGTCCCTCCCCTGGAAAGGCCAGATACTGCTGCCACAGCTAAGCCTCCAGGTGCTTAGTGATCCTGCGAATTTTCTCCTTCTTGTTCCTGTTTCCATGTTTTTTCCAAGGTTTTCCTACTGCATTCCCAGGATTGGGTGTAGTCACAGGCACAAGACCGCTGCCGGGCCGGTACCCCATTGCAGCCCGGACCCCCTTCACCAGGGCACGAACGTTCTCCTGGAAGAGGAGACATAATCACCAGTGACCGACGAGAAGACATTTAACAAGAAGGAACCCTGACATGTCAGTAAAACCAGGAAACAGTAAAGGTCAAACCCATCAAGACCCACTCAGCCCCCAGCTCCAGAGCTGCAGGAAAGGTCACACACCACAGAGCTGAGTCAAAGCCTGCCAGCACAGCCCGGCTGTGTCTGCAGCCATGCCCCGCTGCGCCAGGTCTACAACTGCAAGCAGAGGCAGGGACGAGACACTGAGCCCCGCCAGACATTAGCTACGGCGCTAGGATTGATTCCCACAGTCGCTGCTTTGCACACAACAAATTGTCTTTGCAAATAAATCTGGCATCTGTGAAAGCCAGAGACTAAAATAACTTGCTCAAGTCTGGAGCGTGGGTAGCACTGCCGGGGCTCACAGCTCGTGCCAGCACTTCAGGCAGCCAGAGGAAGAGTCTGGTAATCCCAAAAATTCTTTTCAGGTCATAGTTTTCCGAAACAGCTCACTGTTTTTTTTGAGAAGAGCCCGAGTTCTTGTTTTTAAAATATGTGATTATCTTTAGCTGTGCCGAAACAAATACTGCTCATACCCAGCTAACCAAGCAGAACGGATCATGCTGTCTGTGACCCATCTTCTCTGCTAAACACCTTGTTCTCATCTTTGTCAGGTGTGCAGACTTAATCAGTTACAGATTTGATATTTCATTATGAGTCACCACTCTTTTTTTTTTTCCCAGTAGTATAGGGACAAAACAGATGTCTGTGGGACCTAACACCTAAGAAAAATTCCCATTTTCCACTTCATTTTGAGATTTCTCTATTAGATTTTAAATCAGTTTGTGTGCTTTTCATCTGATTTCATCAGAACCTTCAGGTTCTGAGTCAAAACAATCATGTAGTACTAAATCAATTGTCCTAACCTCCTTCCTTGCCTTTCTTTCCAGTCACTCTCCTGTTTGCTCAAGATTGATGTTGGGCCCATAATGACGAGGGTCACCTCGCTGACCTTTTAAAAATCAACTAAGCGCACCTCATCAGCCATCTTTCAGTCACTTAGGACATTTCCAGTGATTTAGGAGGTAATAAAAAGAACAGAGCACTCTTGGATAGAAATTACATGCAGATGCCAATGGCATCTAACACCATAAACACAACCCAGCACCTCTCCATCCTCAAAGCTATTTCTCCTGGTAACTACGACACACCGGTGCTGCTGTAAAAAAAATCCCAGAATAAATCTCCTCCAGAACTTACCTGGTGGAAAAATGTTTTGTCCACCACATTTTCAATTTGTTTTGCTTTGGTATTCTTCTCAGGCTTCACCTGTCCACTGGCCTGCATGGTTCTGCTCTCTGGGCATTTTTGATGCTGGTGCTGAAAATCATTTGGGTCAATGCCAGGAGGTGGGTGACAATATAACAACTTCCCCTGTGAAAGCAATGAGATAAGTTTTTTTTAACCAAAAAAACCTCAGAGAGACCCAGAGAAGAAAGAAAACAACTCCTAAGCTAAAGCAGAGCCCTGGAAGTGCAGGGGCTCACATTGGCAGAAAAACTATTAGTATGCTTGATTTCTCCTCCAAAGCAACAATTGGCTTGATTATAAAGCACCATTGTACCTCTACTTCAAAGCATCATTTCCAGCTGCAAACAATACAACTCTCCGGAGTACCGCAGGATCCTATTAAGAAATACTCAACAATAAGTTGCAGAGAGGTGCTGTAGAAGCGTGCTGT